TACAATTCCTATTTTGTGATTTTTTTCTTTTTTACGGTCATTAAATTTAGTAGAATTTTACTTTTTGTTCGAGTCCCTGTTTTGTAATTTTTTTTATTTTCATCATCAAATTTTTATTATATTTGATTTTTTCCTAAATGAACTATTTTTTACTTTTACTAAAACTTTTTGTCATTTTTTTGGTTTTTATTTTGTGATCTTTCTTTTATTTTGATAATTAAAGTTCTATTATATTTGATTATTATTTTTTCTACACTAAAATTAAATATAATTTCACTATTCTAAGTTTTTTTTTGGCTTTTAGTAAAAAATATTTTCTATTTTAGTTCTTGTTTTGTGAATTTTTTTATTTTTATCATTAAAATTCTATCATGTTTTACTTTTATTCTCGCCTTATACATAATGAATTTTTTAGTCTTATTGTTTATAAGTGTTTTTTTTTATATATATTTCTTTTATGATCTTTACTTTGTTTTGATCATTTAATTTTTATCGTGGGTAATTTTATCTCTATTTTGTTTTTACCAAATTCTTGATTTGAATAAGTTTTTTGGACTTTTTATTTTGAGTGGTCTCTCTATCTCGTTAACAAATTACGGACGAGGGATATATGATAAAAATCAATCATTTAAAATTGAAAAAACTACAACATTATTATTTCGAGTTGTCAATTATTATACATATTTATAATAAAATACATGTTTATATGAAACAATATCTAATTAGCAATTTTATATTACGTAACTTTGCAGACTTTTTTTTAGCTAACCCTATAACAAAATATGAAATATATGTTTTTTTTCATGTGATACTTTTAAATAATTATTTTTAAATTTTAAATTTTATATGAATGAACACATAACAATGTTGTATAGCTCACCCTACAACAACGTGCGAGATGTATGCTAGTATAAACTAGATACTCGATATAAATTAAAAAGTTATTTTATCAATAAAGACATTTTAAACCATTAAACCCTTGTTTTATGTAATATATTACTAAAACTAATGAGTACATTTTATTTCTCAAAAGCATTTTTTGCGTACATGGTCTTGGATTCTAGTGTTTTTCGATGACTTTAACATCCACACAGTTTTGATCAACTCAAATTTGTTTTAAAAAAAGAAAATTCAAACCCAGCATCAAACTTAAATTAAATAGCGTATGCCATGGATAGACTATGAAAAAAATTAATACAGAAATCAAACACCAAAGAATGAATTCAAGAAGGAAAAAACAAAGAAAAAAGAAAAAAAGAAAAAAAGGTAGATAGAGCTCTGAAAAGTAGAAAAGAAGACGATGGGGAGGGGAGAGAAGAGTAAATTTGGAAAATAAAAAAGGACAATTAAGTAAACATGGAGAGAGAGGACACTCGAAAATCAAAAAACAGTAAGCGCTGGAAAAAGCGCGGCTTTTTTCAGCATGTATTATCATGACTGTGACAATGTTCTCTCTACGTGTCTTCCTCACTCTTCTCTCCCTTCTCGTCGGGTCTCCTGCATCGCATCCTTTTATTCTTTTAATATTTTTCACTGAAAATGGAAAATCAATTTTTTTTCTTCATATGTTGGGTTTTGAGCAATTTTAAATTTTGTTACTATTAACCCATTTTCTTTTTTTTTTTTTTGGCCATTTTTGTAGAAAACAATAGAGTAAATTTACTCCATTGCAGCACTGTTTTGTATTCTTCAAATGAAATGATATATATATATCCTCCACAAGGTAAAAAAAAAAAAAACAAAAAAAGAAGCCATTTATTGTTATTAAGCCTTTTCATATTTCCAAATCCTTCAGTCTCCTCTCTCTTTAGTTGCAGTACAAGTGCTTAAGGTTTTATAAAGCAAACAGACCCTGATCTTTTTTTCCGATTCCGAGGTGCTTAGGGAACATTGTCTATAAATCGCTTCATTTTATTCCTTTCTATGTGATGTGATATCATCGTTCAAAGGTGTGATTTTTCGTGCTTTTGCTTCCATTTTTTTTTTTTTTTTTTTTTGGTGTTGTTTCTGATGATTATAATACTGCTGGATATTTGTGATATTTGAGGTCTGAAATGGTAAAATTATTTCAACTTCTGCTCTAAAGCTAGTGTCTTTATTCGCTTGTCGGTGGGTCTTGCTTCACTAACATACTCTCTCAAGCACCAATTTTGAAGAGGGTTTTTGTTATTTTATCTCCCTACGAATGCTAATTTGTTTTTTGTGGCTTCAAGAAGATCAAAACTTGAAAGCTTTCAAATTTGTTGTAAGTGAGCGAATGTATTTACCGATTAGGGTTTAATTATTGCTAGAAATTTGGTGGTAGTTGGAGTAAAAAACTGTACTTTTGTTGCCTTAAGATGTTAAAATTTCTGGGTTTGTTGTTTCTTTCTTCAAAGTGATCTTTTTGGCGATTGATTGATAATTGGCTTGCTTCAGTGGTATGAATTCTAGCTTGCTGCATTCTCTTGGAGACTTGTATTGTGACAATATTCTCTCTACGGTGTCGTTTTCACCCCTCTCTCCCTTCTCATCGGGTTCCTGCCTCGCATCCTTTTATTCTTTTAATATTTTTCATTGAAAATGCCAAATCAACTTCTTCTGTTTTTCATATGTTGGGTTTCGAGTAATTTTAAAATTTGTTTCTATTAACCTTTTTTTTTTTTTTTTTTTGCCATTTTTATAGGAAACAACAGAAAGTAAATTTACTCCATTGCAGCACTGTTTTGCTTTCTTAAAATGAAATGATTTTTTTTTTTTTAAATCCTCCATAAAGGTTAAACAATGAAGCCAATTATTTTTTATTAAGCCTTTTCAAATTTCTAAATCCTTCACTATCCCCTCTCTCTACTTGTAGAACAGGTGTTTAGGGTTTTATTAAGCATATAGTCTTAAATTGTGGAGACTGTCAGATTTTTTTTATTATAATCCTAGCTGTCTGATGTATAAATGAGGACAACATCTCTAGTTAATAAAAATTATTAGCGCAGCATTGTGGAGAAGCTGTTAGATTTTTTTATGGTAACCCTAGTTGTCTATGCTATAAATAAGATAGCATCTCTATCTAATAAAAATTATTAGAAAGTAGAAACCATCGCAATATGTGATTTTGCTTGTACAGACCTAATCTGTCTTTTCAATTCCGAGGTGCTTAGGATCTACATTGTCTATGAATAGCTTCATTTGCTTCCTCTTGATTTGATTATAGCTCAAAGGTGTCTTTTCGTCACAGGAAAAAAGAAAAGCTAGCTAGCAACCTCTGTTCTTTTGTTTTTTTTTGGAGCATAGCATTGCTCATTTTACATCAGACGGAGCTAATAATTAAGAAAGTGCATTGCCCACTCTTAGACAATGCTTCAAATTGAGTATATATATTATTTTTTAAAACAATAAATCAAAATAAATTGATAAATAACAAAACGAATCAAGTCAAAAAAATAAAAATATGAGGAGTAAATAATCTTTTTTTTTAAAAAAAAAGCCAGAGGACTAATTAATTCATTCTTTTAAAACTAGAGGGGCTAATTTATAATTTAATTCTATAAAATTAAATTTGTCCGTAATTTGTGATTGAAAGAAAAAAGATCAAATCAAATAAATAAATGGCTCAAAACCCAATTAAGTTACTAAAAAAGGACATTCATTCGAGGAGAGTGATGAAAACATTTGATTCAAACATTAAAATCATTAAAGTCGAACTAGCTTTGGGTCGGCTGTCTTCTCACCAAAATCTTAAGGATGCAAAATTTATTCCGGATTAATTTTTGAACCAATAGCACAATTTATTCTTATATAATAAGAAAATATTCCTCAATATATTCTTATATTCTTAATTGAGTTAATTTTATCCTTAAATATATCTAAAGTTTCCAATCCATTATTTTGTCAAAATTTTCAGACCAAACTACTAGAATTATTTATGTGATTTACATACGATTAATTTTTAATTTGAAAGTACGCTTACAAATAAATTAAATAGAAAGATTTTATGTAAAAATTGTGTCACTAATTCTGATAATTTAGCATGAAAATATTATCGGAATGATAGATTAGACATTTAATAAATATTCAATAATAAAATTGATTCAATTAAAACTATAAAAACATAGTGAAAAGTTACCTTATTGTATAAAGACGGATCGAGCCATTAAACCTTATTTAAAAAAAAATTGATATCCATAAATTAATATTAGAGTGAAAATTTTAAGAAAAAATATTTAATTACACGAATGGAATGAACATGTTCCATTTACATTAATTTCCTACAAGTTTTGTGTCTACTACTACCAAGACATCTCTTCTTTTTTTCTTTTTGTCTCGTGGGAGGCTGACCTTGAAAGGTGAAAGCCCACCAACAAGCAAACTATGGAAGAAAGGGGTAAGAAAGCAACAAACATTATAACCAGCAGAAAAGAGACACACCCCACCTCAAGGTCTTTGAATAATCTCTTTGTTTACTTTTCTTTAAGCTAAAGTTTTATTATTTATTTATTAATATTGTTTTTTTTCCTTGCATTTTGCATTTAAGTTAAGCAGTACTAACTCAACAACGAGTAAGCTATAATTTAGTTCCTCTATTTTCGAAAAATAAATTAATTAATTTTTTGATCACTATTGAATGCGCTTAATTTACTATTATTTTATTTCAAAATGTATAATTTTGCTTCATTAATTCTTTTGTATTTTTATTTATTTTTAAATTTTCTTTGTTAAAACAAAATATCATTAGAAATTGAAAAAAATTAAGGTACAATAAAATTTAAACATATAGGTACTAAATACTTAGTTTTTGAAACTAGAGGGACTAATGTATAATTTACTCTTAGTTCAACAACTTCACACCTTTCCAGACCCTTCATAGGTTCTCAATTTTTTAACATGTACCTGGATTTTCTCCTCTCATCTCCTATTGTTCTCCCACAATTCTCTTTGTACCGTCCTGAGATTCTTCACTGATTTCCAATTCTGTTTAAAACCTCAACTTGTGAAGTTGAAGTTGACATTGAGCAGCTGATGATCAAATGAGGACATCAAAAATTTCTTCAGGGAATTCAGGCTATCATGTATGGATTCTTTCTTTTGCAATGATTCTATTGCTACTGATAGCCTTATCAAAGTCATGGATTCATGACACCCCTTCTGTTACAGCAAGTGAAAATGTTCAGTTTTCGGGCATTGTTCCTTCGAAAGGGAAGGATCATCCTCCTGTTCTTGCTTATTGGATATGTGGAACTAGGGGAGACGGGAAGAGAATGTTCAGGCTATTGAAAGCAATTTATCATCCAAGGAACCAATATCTACTGCAACTTGATGCCGAAGCATCAGATTATGAAAGGGCAGACTTAGTTGTTTCAATTCAATCTGAAAGCTTGTTTCAAGCGTTTGGTAATGTTAATGTTGTCGGAAAAGGTTACGCTATTAACGAAATGGGATCTTCTGCCCTCGCTGCCATACTCAATGCTGCTGCATTGCTTCTCAGGCTAAGTCCAGATTGGGATTGGTTCATCAATTTAAGTGCCTCAGATTATCCCCTAGTGAGTCAAGATGGTAAATGCTATTTGCATTCTCTAGCAATTTAGCTTTTTGATGCAATTGGTATGGAATTTGATTAGCAAATCTTTCTGTGCAGATCTCCTCCATGCCTTCGCTTCCTTGCCGAGAGATCTCAACTTCATCAACTATACCAATGACTCTGCGAGAATCGAGTAAAGCATGATCAGCCGTTTTATTAAGCCTTTTCAAATTTCTAAATCCTTCGGTATCCCCTCTCTCTACTTGTAAAACAAGTGTTTAGGGTTTTATTAAGTTGTAAAGAATGATATAGATAGTAACATGCAAATATAGAGTGAGGTGTATAAACCCATTAGATTTTTTTATTATACCCTAGTTGTTTATACTATAAAAAGGGCAGCATCCCTACCTAATAAAAATTATTAGTTTAGCAACATGCATAAACTCGTTAATTTTTTTTTATTGTGATCCTAATTGTCTATAATATAAATAAGAACAATATCTCTACCGAATAAAAATAATTAGTGCAGCAACATGTATAAACCCATTGGATTTCTTTTTTTATTACAATCCTAGTTGTTTATTTTATAAGGACAACATATCTATCTAATAAAAATTATTAGTGTGGAGGCGTGTATAAACTCGTTAAATTTTTTTATTGTAATCCTAGTTGTCTATTATATAAATAAGGACAACTTCTCTACTTAATAAAAATTATTAATGCAACAGCGTGGATAAGCTGTTAGATCTTTTTTAATACAATCCTAATTATCTATACTATAAATAAGAATAATATTTCTACCTAATACGAGTTGCATAGATAAGCCGTTAAATCTTTTTTATTGTAATTTTAGTTTTTTATATTATAAATAAAGATAACATCTCTATTTAATAAAAATTATTAGTGCATCGACGTGTATAAACTTGTTAGATTTTTTTATTATAACTCTAATTGTTTAAATTATAAATAAGGAAAATATCTTTTTCAAATAAAAATTATTTGTGTAGCGGCGTCTTAGATATTTTTATTGTAACCCTAGCTGTGTATGTTATAAATAGAGCATCTCTACCTAATAAAAATTACTAGTGCAGCGGCAAAAGTAGAAATCATCGCAATATGTGATTGTCCTTGTACAGTCCTAATCTTTCTTTCCAAGGTGCTTAGGATCTACATTGTCTATAAATAGCTTCATTTGCTTCCTCTTGATGTGATTATCGCTCAAAGGTGTCTTTTCGTGCTTTTGTTTCCACTTTTTTATCATTCTTTGGCGTTGTTGTTGATGAGTAGTATAATGCTGCTACATATTTGTGATTTTTTCTCCCTGCTAATGCTAATTTGTTTTTGTGGCTTCAAAAAATATCAAAACTTGAAAGCTTTCAACTTTGTTGTAAGCGAAGCGTATATATTTACTGATTAGGGTTTATTGCTAGAAATTTGGTGGTAGTTGGAGTAAAAGACTGTACTTTTGTTGCCTTCAGATGTTAAAATTTCTTGGATGTTGTTTCTTTCTTCAAAGTGGTCATTTTTGCAATTGATTGATGATTGGCATGCCTCAGTGGTATGAATTCTAGCTTGTTGCATTCTCTTGGAGACTTGTGTTGTAACAAAATTGTTTGGGACCTTTTCGATTTATGTTTAGGTTATCTGTCTATGTGAGTGTGGAATTCTTTGACATATATATGGATCGTTTGATTTTGAATTAGTGTGGCTGAAGCATTACTGAGATAATGATAATTGGCACATTGGTTTTTGGGATTTCGGAGTGCTGTTGTGTTCTAAGTGCATTTAGAGTTGCCTATATGAAGCCTATGTATGACATTACCATACCATTGCTGCTCCAGACCTTCCTTTCGCGTTTTTTTTGCTGATTAAGGTTCGAAAGGTGTGGTTGTTCAATAAAATCCTGACTACATGATTTTGCTGTCTCTGCTTGCTTTTTCTTTTTCGGAATTGCTCTTGTTTCCAACCTTTTAAAACTGTTTCTGTTACTTTAAGAGTGATTCCTGTTTCAGAAAATCTCTCACCAACCCGAAAACCGTGCCTGTTACAGCCACAGTGCTCAGCTGCTACAGCAATTCCAAGTTTTATTGAAAGTGCTACCATGGAGAATTTAAAATTCTATCAAAAAGGCTTTTTTCAGGCAAGGATGAAGGGTGGATCGGGTTCAGAAGGTGCAGGTGGTCTAGGTTCAACAGTGGATTTGGAGTCTCTTTGTTTCAAATGCAGGTTCGGAGTCTGTCTTAGAGTCAAGTACCAAAGCTGAATTCAGAAGGCGTTTCCTCCACTTCTGCGGTACCCAATGATCTAAGATAGACTCCAAACCTACATTTGAACCCTTGGACTTGGGGTGTTTTTTCTTGTGAGCTTGAATCATCATCTACTCTTGGTTTCGTGGAAGCTCCAAGAGGCAAAAACGTTAATGTCATGCATGAATCAATTTTATAATCACATTTAAATTGCTTTAAAACTTTAACCTTGTTTGGACTGAAATGCTCCCTTAAAATTGAAGGAACCAAACCAAATGCATGTAGATATATGGTAGGTTTCTATATGTGTTGTTTTTCTCAATGTGTTAATATTTCAACATTTCTGTGGTAACCACTTTGTTATGTTACTGTCCAGCTTAAGGCTTCAGCAGGAGCTGGGATGCAAGAAATTGGAGATGAAGGTATGTTTAGCTGCTCTTCTGTTTTCCTCGCTTCTGAAGAAATTTGACGGACTTCTAAAACCCTCTCTACTTTCAGGAGAAAGCAAAGATAGTTAGAAACCAAATTAATGTTTTTTACTCTTGGAAACTGCGCTGCTTTGCCAAAAAGCTCGTTGTGAGTATTCACTTTGAGTGTCCTAGATACAGTTTCAATGGCCATTATTAATAATATTGAGCTTGTTTGGAAGCATGAAACTGGTAGTTGTTGCATCTACGTGAAAAAAGTTTCGGAATTGGTTGTTGATACATTTACTTGTGAATTGTGATCTATCTTAGCTGTCTTATTAAGTGATTATAAGCATTGGACTTGATGGTTTTCTGTTCTTTTGGGAAACAAATGAATACAGGTATCACAAATCCTAGAAATGGTTCTTGTTGTATTAAGAGCTATTTCCCTAAGTTAAATCATTTCCCTTTTCTCTGAACTTTAGGTTGATGTTGCCAAAGCGAAGGAACAAGAAGCCACGGTGGTTGAAGTGATGACTGGATTAACAGCTGATGGTGCAGTTGATTCTGCTGGAGTGATCCCTTGAATGGAAAATTTCCACCATCTCATAGTTTCTATTTTTCACACTATGATATTGCATCTAAGATTGTTTCACATACTGGGCAGAAGATTGAGTGGATACCAGTATGATCTCTTTTGTAATTGTCTGATGATAGTGTGCTGTAGGTCAACCATCAATAGAACTCTGCATCAATGCTTGCAAGAACTAAGAAGCAATTAGCAATTAGGAACTACATTCTTTGTCTAGATGAACTAGAACTATAACAATCACATTTAGAACTCTTATATTTAATGACTATCATTGTTTTTGGGAAATAAACTGGTAGACATAATGGTGGAAATGACACAAGCACCAGCAACTGGTAATGGGGTCAACACCTCCATAAGGGGGTGGTGTTTCTTCATTATCTTTAGGGGATAATATTAGTGTTTGCAGGACTGTCGCAGCAGCACCGGCAGAGACCTTCATGATGAATGAGAGATGAAGCGAAAGAGGAAGGTAAATGTAATTTGATTTCAACTTCTTTTCAATAGACCCTTATAGCATTCATTGCCCGTCAATAAATGGGTAATTAATTTTTTTTTTTTTTTACTACCTGTTTGATTCTTTCTTTTCCGCATGGTGAGTTGGTGTTTCTTCATCATTTTTTTTTGTGCGTGCACGCGTGTGTTTCACACATTGAATGGAGATTGGACATACCCCATGAAAAAGCCTTTTGCAGAGGTCTCTAAGTGGTTTGGTGCAGTTCAGTCCTCAATCAAGATCTTTTTCATTGCCTATAAGAACTATGAAGCAATTACCCAATGTTGAGTTTGCTTGATCAAATATTTCTAGTCCTAGTTCAGATCCCTCACGAATTCAGGTACGATTTTTGACACAAGGGTGATATCATGTGCAGAACTGGAGGATGTGAAAATGGAAGTGAGAGCCTGCAGGCTGAAGGTAAGAGATAGGTGCTCTCTTGTTATTGGATTTTGAGGAGGAGGAGGATAAGAAGGGTTTGGAATGTCGATTGCAAAAAAAGGAAAGGCTCACTGTTCCCTTCTCATAGCATAAGAACGCATACACTGTGGTAGTGGTGGTCAGATGATTCTTACTGGCAGAATTTGCTGGCTCTCGTTGTTCTTCGGGTGATTGTGCTGGTGATGGGGGCGCCAGATTGACAGATTGTAGTTTCCAAAACATTAAAAAAAAAAAAAATGTAAACTTCAACTATAACAAAAACACTAAATAGTTTCTTTTTTTTAATCTTCAATATGTCAAAGACCACAAAGGCATTGATAATGGACTAATTTATAATTTAGTCCGTCTCGTTTAAAAAATGAATTATTTAATCTTTATTTTTTAAATTTATTTGTAACTTAGTCCCTTTTGTTTTTTTTTTCAATTTATTTTGATATTTTATTTTAATAAATAGAAAAGGAAAAAAAATCGAAAAATATGGAAAGATTTATGAAAAGAGAAGATATTTTATGATATAAGAATAATATTAAATTAAGCATGATCAACACTGATTCAAAGATTAAATAATAACTTTTGAAATAAGAAAGATTAATAATAATAATAATTATTATTGAAACTAGAGGGACTAATTTATAATTTACTCAATGAAAATGTCTTTACAATTTTGTCACAGGATGTAAGTAAAGGTAGCTAGCAACCTGTCTTAGTTTGTTGTGCATAGCATTGCTCATGTTGCAGAAGTCGGAGCTAATAATTAAGAAAAAGTGCATTCCCCACTCTTAGACAATGCTTCAAATTGAGTATATTTTTTACTTATTTTTTTATTATTTCTTAAAACAAAAAAATCAAAATAAATGGATAAATAACAAAAAAGAAGTAAGTTACAAAAAAAGAGTAAATAATCATTTAAAAAAAAAACAAGAGGACTAATTAATTAATTTTTTAAAACTAGAGGGACTGATTTATAAAATTAAATTTATCCATAATTTGTGATTGAAAGAAAAATGATCAAATCAATAATAAAATGGATTAAAACTCAAGTTACTAAAAAAGGACAATCATTATAGGAGAGTGATGAAAAAATTTGATTCAAACATCAAAATCATTAAAGTAGAATTAGCATTGGGTCGGCTGTCTTCTCACCAAAATCTTAAGGATGCAACTAAAAAAAAAAGGCAGGCAACATTTATCCCAATTAATTTTCGAACAAATAGCTCAATTTATTTTTATATAATAAGATAATATTTTTTAATTTATTCTTATAGTCTTAATTGAGTTAATTTTATCCTTAAATATACGTAAAGTTTTCAATCCATTATTTTGTTAAGATTTTCAGATCAAACTATCGAATTGTTTACGTGATTTTAATTTGCATATGATTGATTTTTAATTTGAAAAAACCCTTACAAGCAAGTTAAATTGAAAGCTTTCATGTACAAAATCATGTCACTAATTCTAATAATTTAGCATGAAAATATTAATATTTAATGAATATTTCAGAATAAAATTGATTCAATTAAGAATATAAGAATATATTAAAAAATTATCTTGTTATATAAAGATAGATCGAGCCATTAAACCTATTTTTTTTTTTCAAATAATATCCCACTGATATTGTTCCATAAATTCATTTTAGAACGGGAATTTTAAGGAAAAAAATTTAATTACTCGAATGGAATGAACATGCTCCATTTAATTACATTAATTTCCTACAAGTTTTTCTCTACTACTACCAAGACATCCCTTCCTCTTCTTTTTCTTTTTCTTGTGATGTGGGAGGTTGACCTTGAAAGGTGAAAGCCCAACAAACATTAAAACCAGCTGAAAAGAGTCACAATGCACCTCTAAGGTCTTTTTCTAAAAGGCTTGATGTCATCATGGACAATTTTGCTTCCTACCTTGTTTTGGAAGGAATCTCCCTTTGAATAATCTCTTTGTTTACTTTTCTTTAAACTCAAGTTTTTTTTTTTCTCCAATTAAGTTCAGCATTGCTACCTCAACAACGAGTAAGTTATAATTTAGTTCTCTATTTTTGAAAATAAATAAATTAATTAATTAGTCTCTTGATCAATGTTGATTACGCTTCTCTAAAATTAATTCATTTAAAAAAATATCATCTTCTTTCATTAATTCTTCTAATTATTTATTTTTCTTTTTGAAATAAAAAATCATAATAAGTTAAAAAGAACAAAAAAGATTGAGTTACAGTAAAATTTTAAAATAGAGGTACTAAATAATTTGTTTTTAAAACAAAATGAATTAATTAATTCACTTCTAGAAACTAGAGGGACTAATTTATGATTTACTCCTAGTTCAACAACTTCATACCTTTCAGACCCTTTGCAGGTTCTCAAGTTTTTAATATGTACCTGAATTTTCTCTCCTCGGCTCCTATTGTTCTCCCACAATCCTGTTTGTACCATCCTGAAATTCTTCACTGATTTCCAATTCTGTTTAAACCTTAATCTGTGAAGTTGAAGTTGACATTGAGCAGCTGATGATCAAATGAGGGCATCAAAAATTTCTTCAGGGAATTCAGGCTATCATGTATGGATTCTTTCTTTTGCAATGATTCTATTGCTACTGATAGCCTTATCAAAGTCATGGATTCATGATCCCCCTTCTGTTACAGCAAGTGAAAATGTTCAGTTTTCGGGAATTGTTCCTTTGAAAGGGAAGGATCATCCTCCTGTTCTTGCTTATTGGATATGTGGAACTAGTGGAGACGGGAAGAGGATGCTCAGGCTATTGAAAGCGATTTATCATCCAAGGAACCAATATCTACTGCAACTTGATGCCGAAGCATCAGATTATGAAAGAGCAGACTTGGTTGTTTCAATTCAATCTGAAAGCTTGTTTCAAGCGTTTGGTAATGTTAATGTTGTCGGAAAAGGTTACGCTATTAACCAAATGGGATCTTCTGCCCTCGCTGCCATACTCAATGCTGCTGCATTGCTTCTCAGGCTAAGTCCAGATTGGGATTGGTTCATCAATCTAAGTGCCTCAGATTATCCCCTAGTGAGTCAAGATGGTAAATGCTACTTGCATTTTCTGGCAATTTAACCTTTTGATGCAATTGGTATGGAACTGATTAGCAAATCTTTCTGTGCAGATCTCCTCCATGCCTTCTCTTCCTTGCCAAGAGATCTCAACTTCATCAACTATTCTAATGACACTGCGAGAATCGAGTAAGCATGATCAGCCGTTTTTCGTTCTGCAAATTATTTCTTTTATAGAATGACGATGCTCAAAGTAACCTTATTAGTCATCAATCCAAGGTTGGCCTAATGATTCAAGCTGTGAACTTCATCGTCTAATGTCTAAACCAGTCCATTCTCAGAGCATTTAGTACCTATTCCTGAATTTTTTGGTGTCAAATCTGGATTTGGTGCAGGATGCACAAGATTAACCAAATTGTTGTAGACCCTAGCTTGTACCTTAAAAAGAGGAGCCACCTTTACTATGCTGTCGAGACTCGAACAACACCTGATGCTTTCAGGATCTTTGGAGGTCAGTTTCCTTGGCAATTCAAAGGGCATATCTTAAAGCAATCACTTACTGTAAATTCTTCCTTGTCTCACAGGATCACCCTGGATGATTCTTACAAGAGCTTTCATGGAGTATTGTGTCGAAGGATGGGACAACCTTCCTAGAAAACTACTAATGTACTTCAGCAACACAGCATCCCCACTCGAATCCTATTTCCACTCTGTCCTCTGTAACTCTCCTGAGTTCCAGAACACAACAGTAAACAACGCTTTAAGGTACAATACTTTGGAAAGTTCTACAGATGGGGAATCACTCTATGACAAAATGCTAAGCAATGGGGCAGCATTTGCAAGACCATTTAAGGAAGATGCTGCTGCACTAAGCATGATAGATGAGATTGTCTTAAACCGTGAACCAAATGGATTGGTGCCTGGAAAATGGTGCTTAGACCAAGGCATGAACAGGACTACAGAAGCTTCAAAGCCTGCAGGGGAGGGTTTGTGTTCAGCTTGGGGTGACATTGATGATGTTAAGCCAGGGCCTTATGGTATCAAGTTTGGATCTTTGTTGTCGAAGATTGCCAGTGAAGAGAAACTGAGAACTAGTCAATGCCTTCAAGCAACAAAAATGGGGTCGTCATAAGAACAAGAATACAGATTCGTGTGGATAAATTCTTTTTTACATCAAGTTTCTTAGCCACATGACTTCTTTGGTTATTGCATTACAGATGCATATAAGCTTGTATATAGGATTAACGGCTCAATCTGTTTTTATATAATAAGACAATTTTTTAATTTGTTCTTCTATTTTTAATTAAATTAATTTTATTTTTGAAGTTCTAATATATTTGTATGACAAAATTTTAAATTCATATCTAGAATCTTTTTCATGCATAAGTTTATTTTTAATTTTTTTTTTAAAAAGGTTTTGTATATATCGAAACTCCATATAATTCGAAATTTTAATTGAGATCTTAAGTTTTTTTCTATCTAATTTAAAAATTTTATTTTTATGTTATTATTTCAAACTCCAATATGGTAAGTTTTCATTTACTAGAGTTTGAAACAACAATAATATAAGAGTAAAATTCTTAAATTGGATAGAAAAAAATTTAAAATCTCAATAAATTTTTTTTGAATTATACGGAATCTTAATATGTATAAAGCCTTTTAAAAAATACATCATGTAATACTATTATCTTTTCCAATAGGAAAAAAAAAATCGAAAAAGATAAAGGTTAAAAAACAGGGATGAAATTTGGAGATTAAATGTGTTGGGCTGTTGGTTATCAAATTAAAAGCCCATACTTTAGGGAACCCATTTGTACTGGCTTTTGCCCATGTTCCTCATTTTCCTGGGTCATTGAGTTTACCCCTGCGTCTAACTTCTTCATTTGAAGTAAAAAATAAAAAACTCAATTTTTTTTTATTTTTAATCTTGTTGGAGTTTAATCAAGTTGGTTACATTTTAACCAAATTGAAAGATTTGACTGAATTAGTTGCTTGTTTAGTTCTATAATAAATCTAATTCGATCTAAGATTTAAGTTATTAGATTTTTAAGTTAATCTATCGTATCAAATTAAATTGAACAATTATGCAATCTAATAAACTTCTCAATCAAAACCCAAAAAAAATATTAATAGTTAAAAAGTGAAAAAGTCAATTTTTATTTTATTTTAAATGTTGTTGTAGTTTTAATCAAATTGATTACATTTTAACCAAATTGAACGGATTTGATCGAATTAGTTGCATGCTTAGTTCGATAATAAATCTAATTCGACCTAAGATTTGAGTTGTCAGATTTTTAAGTTAATCTATTGTATCAAACTAAATTGAATAATTGTGCAATCCAATAAACTTCTCAATCAAAACCAAAGAAAAGAAAATATATAGTTAAAATGGGCATGCTAACCAACTTGCTAGCTGTCATCTTTATGTTTTAGTGCAATCAAACAATTATGACTAACTCATTTCTATAAGTTAATGAAAACTTATGATTCTGACTAAGTTGATTGAGTTTTAAATCGAAACTAACTAAATTAGTTGCTTATTTGGTTCTATTATAAATTTAATCTAAAATTTAGATTGTTCAATTTTTAAATTAAGATATCGTATCAAACTATATTGAACAACTATGTAGTCTAATGGACATCTCAATAAAAAAAGAAAAAGAAAAAAACTTATAGTTAAAATAAGCATACTAACCAACTTAACTTGCTATCAATCATTCTTATGTTTTAATAAATCAATCAAATTTCTATGACCAACTCATAGCTTAAGTTAATGGTAACTTATGGTTAAGATTAGCCCGTGGCCTTAATCATTAACAAGAACATTAAAGTATCAAAATATTTAAAGCATTACTTTATTGGATCCTTGCGATAACTAAAAAAGTCAACCTTTTTTTTTTAATTTTAATATTGTTGGAGTTTAATCAATTGATTACATTTTAACTAAATTGCACGGATTCGACCTAAGATTTGAATTGTCGGATTTTTAACTTATAACCTATCGTATCAAACTCGGATTGAACAATTATGTAATCCAATAAACTTTTCAATCAAAACCAAAAAAGAAAAAAAGATATAGTTAAAATGAGCAATGCTGCCATGCTTTATGTTTTAGTGCAATCAAACAATTATGCCTAACTCATTACTATAAGTTAATAGAAACTTATGATTCGATTAAATTGATTCGGTTGTAAATCGAAACTAACTGAATTAGTAGCTTATTTGGTTCTACTATAAATTAAATATAAAATTTAGATTGTTAGATTTTTAAAGTAACACATGGTATTAAAATAGATTGAACAGCTATGCAATCCAATGAACATCTCAAAAAAAAAAAAAAAAAAAACTTATAGTTAAAATAAGCATCCTAACCAACTAGACTTGCTACCAATAACCGTTGCGTTTTAATAAATTAATCAAATTATTATGACTAACTCATAGCTTAAGTTAATGGTAACTTATGGTTAAGATTAGCTAATGGCCTTAATCATCTACAAGAACCCTAAAGCATCGAATTATTTAAAGCATTACTTTATTGGATCCTTGCAAACTTTAAACTTCCTCCACATTCCACAACCACCTTTCCTCACCGACCCCCAACTTCTCTCCTCACCTCAGCCTGCAATCCCTCCTTACACCTCACATTAATGATTTTTATATCACCCTTCCTTCCTTCCTTCTTGTGATCACCGATCCTTCACTCCTTTTCTTGAATCTCCACGTATGTCATCAAATTTATCTTATATATTAAATGTCGGCAAATGGTTTCAACTTTATCCTATTTTTAAATTATTTAAAAATCAGTTTTTTTTTTCTAATTTCGAATTAGATCTACCTCTAATTATTTTTTATTTAAAAATGATTTTGTTTAGGTTTGTGTCAATTTTAATTATAAAAATATAAGTGACTTGCACTTAATTGTTTTTTTCAATATTTAAATATGTACGAAAACTTATAAATATTTTATTTTTCTCTCTAAATCTTGTTTTTTTCCCTAAAATGTTTAATTGTTGACTTTTTCTGGTTGTCAAAAAATCGTATTTACACGTTAAAATCGATAAAAACTTAACATAATGACATAATTATGAAAGAAAAATAGTTAAAAAAAAAGAATTAATTATTCAAAATTAAAAATTAAAAAACTAAATTTAAAATGATTTAAAATTTAGAAAAAATTGGAATCATTTGAACTTAAATATCTTGTACGGCATAGCAATGGATAAAAATTTATAATTCTCAAATAGGACAAAATATTATATTAAATTAATCTTAATGGGGCAAAGCTGATTTGATATTGCAAGTTGAATGTGGCCAAAACAAAATTTTGACTAATCAGGAGATTTTTTGTTAAAGAATAATTTATTGTGGCAAGTCAATCTTTACACTGATCCAAAAAGGTTAGGTGCTTGTGGTGAAAAGTAAAAGATCGAGTTTGATTTGCATCCATCCATGTTTTATTTGTACGTATGGACATTATTTAATTTCTTCAACTTTTGCCTGAATCCTGATATTTTATATGAGGAGAATATTATGATTATTTTTTATAATTATGGAATAATAAGCTTTAGACGGCAGCATTTGCAGACCAAGAATGTTACTCCACCACAAACATAAAAGAAGCTTCTCGGTAATCTTGCTGGAATCACTTGATTATTCATAGGATTAATCGTTATATTTATTCTTAAATATGTGGTTATATTTCTAACAGAACTAATTTTATTTTTTAAAATTTTTTAATATTTCATTTTTAATTTTTTTAAAAAATAAAACTATCAAAATTAATGACGTAATTACCACATGAATGTCCTCTATTTATTTGGTTTACAGATGTATTTTGAAAGCAAGAAAATTCATGTGCAAAATATGTTATTAATTTTAATGATTTGGTTTAAATATTTTATAAAAAAATACATTAGAAACTTTTGTGCATGTTTAAAAATAAAATAAACTCAACTAAAAAAATAAAAAACCGTAATAAAAAATTATCTGATTATGCATTAAAAAGATTATCTTATTATATAACAATAGATAGAACCGTTAATATTTATATATAATACTACCTAATTAAACAAGTTTAGCAACACCATTTTTATGCAAATTAATTTGAATTAAAAAAAAAAGAGAGAGAGAGAGAGAGACGTTCAATCATAAAATCAAACCACCCAAGTTTATTTATTATTATTATTATTTTTGGACAAACTATGAATTGATAAAGATAAAACTAAAATATATCACAAAATTACAACTTTATTGTCGTGGGAGTTCTGTATTTCAGTAGCATCATCGGAAACTATCAAAGAAATATTTGTTGTGTAATGACAAAATCAAAATCAAAACTTAAATGAGAGATTTGATTAACTTTTCAAGACGAAATCATTTTTCTTGTCTCAAGATCTCTTTGATTTTTGAGACAAAACTTCTTAAACATCTATTTTCATCTAATCAAGTTCTTAACTCATAAAAACTCCTACAAAATATTGAAAATTCCCAAGCTCCACGAGTGTGAACTTCCTGCAGATATTATTCTGCAGTCTGCACATGCGTACGGCTCACGCAGAGGACTCAGCCGACCCTTCTTCCATGTTTTTCTGTGGCTGCAATCTCCGGCTTCGCAACGCCTGTTCTATCTTCATTTCAACGGTGACGATCAGCTTACAGGGCACCCCTGATATCTCCTCCAACCTTCTCAGATTTTGAGACGTTGCGGCGGACTTGTCCCCGGATAATCTGACTCCGAACCAGAACGACGCAGCTAAGCTCACTCTGAACGGCGAAGCTAACCTCCCAAAGCACAGTGCCATCGCCTGAGTGGCCCTCTGTACCACCAGATTACCATTTAGCCCCAGCCTTTTGCACCAACTCGTAAAAACACCCTCTGACCTCAAATTCCTTGATCTCTTCAACTTATCTCCTCGGCTTCTGGCCGGAATATCCGTCACCGAGCGAAAAGAGATGGTTTTCGCTCTTTTTCTTCCGTCCTCAAAGCGCGACGCCGTCTTTTCGGTGCTTGAAATGCAAGCAGAGGATAAAGTACTAGAAGAAGAGCAAGAGATGGAGTCCAATTCTTTGTTTTCGGGCGAGCAAGAGAAGCAGGTGACATGTCGAAGAGATGGGGTGGTGCCGGAGAATGAATTCCCGGTGACAGACTTACAACCGGAGCAGATTACACGGCGGAGATGACGAGCAACAAGGAAGTTAGCATCATGAACATTAGAATCACAGTCGAAACAAAGAAACGCAGCATCTGAGTCGCAGAAGACATCAGCTTCTCTTCGGCAAAGCTCACAAACTTCAGCAGCCATCACTTCTTTATCACCTTTCATGCTGGACGTAAATAAAATATTGGTGTCAAGAAATAAGAAGAGGGAGGCGGAAGCGAAAATGGTGGTGGGTGGTGATTTATAGAGGGAGAGGATGGGTAGGAATGGGGGCTAAAAGATCTAGGCTAAAAAAGGCGGTGGTGAGATGGGTGGCAGGATTTTGTGTGTGTAGAAATGAAGGAGAGGAGAAGGGAATTTAATAGGTGGCTGACTATATATGGTGGCCTGCCATGGCTGTCCAACCATGGATGCTTTACGACTACATTTTCTTTCACTTTTGTCCACATGTTCGAGAACCTAGTTTCCCTCGAAGCATATTGATAAAAAAAAAAAATCTTTTGTTTTTCTTCTATTTGCATTCTTGGTCCCTTGTTTTTGCCTAATTACATTAAGATTTTTGAGGCTTGATAATCACTATAAAATGTTTAAGTTTTTTTTTTTTTTTAAAGTATATGTATGTTATTTTAAATTTTGATGTAGCATTAATGTGCTATTTTTGCGATGTTAGCTAAAGGGATAATTGATTTTTTTTTCATGTGTTACTATAGAATTTAAAAAGAAAAAACTGAAAAGAAAATAAATCATATTGAATATTGAAAAATATAATTTAATGCGAAAATAAATTTTTAAATCCTATAATTATTAAAATCTAAAACAATTTATGAGTGTTTTAGAAGATGATCATGTGACAGAATAAATAATCTTCAAATTTACTTTTTTAGCTTTTCTTCTCTCTTTTTCTTTTGGAGTTATTATGAAATTATAGTCATGATTGTATCATGATTATTTTCATTATTCTTGAAATTCTCTTTTTCTAAGGTTCATCCTTTCACGCAAAGAAAGAATTTCATCATTCTTATATTTATTCTTTCACTCCCTAAGAGTTTGGTTTATATATATATATATATATATTTTTTATATCTATCATTTTTTTTTTTAGATTTGGAACTTCATGGTTTTTGTTTAGTTATATTTTTTTCTACAATCTTATTTTTCCTATTCTTTAATAACCACCACCAAAATTGAAAATAAATTTCATATTTACAATAATTTTTATAGAAGTTATTGTATTTGTTTCGCTGCATGTGATATTTGATTTCATTGATTTAAATAAAAAAAAAAAGAATATAAATGGTGTGCTAAAAGATCTATATTCTAATAAGCTAGAATTATAAATATATCAAAAGTTACGAACTTAACATAAATAACTGACAATTCATTATTAATCTTAACTATGATAAATCAATTTTTTATTATGAAATATTAGAGAAATACTCAAATGTTATTCTTTATTTTGCTGCAATAGAGATATTGCTGTGATAGATTGAATTATCCAAATATTATAAAAGCTCATGAGCAGAAACTACTAGAAAACGTGAAATAATTACGCAAACTAAAGATTTGGAAAGCATGGGACAAAACAAGGTTCAAGAAAAAAATTAGCAAAAAATACAAGGGTATCAAAATAAATGACTGAGAAAAGTCGTATTTTTTTTAACAATATATGTGCGGTTGAGTCTTCAAAAATATCTTTTCTGCATGTGTACTACCACCAACCATCGTAGCGTATGGGGATTTATTTTTTAAAAATTTCGAGGGACACATCCACAATGATTCTCCACCAAGAATTTCAAGACCGGTCATCGGGACACCAACACGTGTCAAAAATTGGAAACGTCTTCATCACTTGATTCGATCCTTCTCCTTTCATGTGTCCTGTAACATGACAGCGCTTTCTTAATCACCTCTCCTGTAATTTTGTTCTTTGATTCCTCTTTTGCCCCTGAGCCTCCACGCATCACTCGTTTGTACCGTTCAAAGCCTTTCTTGTTAACCAAAAACGGGGTAATTCGTAATTACCATAAATTGACACCGCGATAAGCTGAATTAGGAGTATCTGGTCAGTCACGACTTATGGTGGTGACTGGTGAGTCATCAAAGAAGAATTTAAAATCTTTCATGAAGAAATTATAAATTAGTCCTTTTAGTTTTGAAAAATTAATTAATTAATTTTTTAAATCGAATTACTTAATCCTTATATTTTTAAATTTTTTTACAACTTAATTTTTCTTTTTCTTTTTTTTAAATAAGTGAAAACTATGGAAGGGGTGATGAAAAAAATTATTAACCAGTTATTTTTTTTAATCTACAATTAGATTTTTTTTCAAATGGTAATTGGAGGGTAAGCTGCCAAATGGCCATAAGCTAATCAAATCAAGTCATTAAAGTAAAATCATTCCTTCTTCCGACACCGAAATTCAAAATGGAAACGAAATATTTAGTTACGTGGCAAAACCCACACCGATAAAATAATATGATTTTATTTTCAGCCACACAAATGGCTCCATAAGAGAGATGCCAGACCCACTGATTAACGACCATCCAAGTGGCAAGAATTTATGAGGTTAGAGGTGGCGGATGATAGGCTACCACGCACTAGCAGCAGCAACAACGGTGGGTTGTGATGTTGCATCATCATAAATCACAAATCACACGAGGAGCGTGATTGGAATGATTTTGTATGGGACCAGTTGATGAAATGGGCTGTTTTTGTGTTTTTGCTTTCCATCATAGCTGGCTTGCTAGCTGCTAGGCATGGCATGATTTATATTGATCAATGGAGTGGGTAATGGGAGCCACACGATCCTTTTTCAATTATCATGGTTGTTTCTTGATTGTAGAAAACAATGAATATTACTAAACAACCAACGGTCCAATTTTTTTCATGAATTTTAAATTAGTTAAGAACTAGGTTTTTTTTTTAAAACTGAAACTGCATTGGAGGTCAGAAATAGCATAAAAAATTATTTTAATTTGATGCTTCATATTGTATCGTGCATCTAAGAAAATATATCAAATCAAATCTAAATAAAAATTTATTTAATTTTATAATTTTTATTCAAAATTTTGTATTTTACTAATTTTTTTATATTTTTATAAATTTTTATTAAAAATATTATTTATTTATCTCTATTCACATTAACAAAAAAACCAAACTAAAAAAATTATAATAACGTGAGAAAAATGTCAAGATCGATAGATTTTTAGCTAAAAAACTTAATTTATAAATTGTTTTTTCAAATATCTTTTTGACTTAAAATTTTTAATTAAAAAACCTGAGGAAAAAAAGCAAGGACTAAAGCGATCAAAATAAAACAAAAAAGAGGAATCAAAATAAAATAAAAAAATCGAGGATTGAAAAACTATGATTAAAAAAGATGAACCAAAATATAATATCACGAAAAAATTCATAATAAATGTTTTTTAAAAAATAGAAAAATGAAAAAAAAAACCACTTGTAAGTAAAATAAATAGTACATATGAGTCCGAGTAATTAGTGTTTGGAATAATACCAATAAATAGTAAACTAACGTTTTAGTTTTATTTTTTTATTAATTAATATTTTTCTTAAACTATTTTTCTTTTGAAATTGAATTATTTTTATAGACTTATAATAAGCATTTTGGATGCTAGGTTTCTTAATTCACTCTATTTACTTTTAGGTAACGTGTGGCGAACGGTAGATTTTTATGGTTTTTAACGTATGAATGTAATTTTTTATTAGTTAAAAAAAATTTGCTAAAACTTTTGGATGTTTATTTTCATATTCAAAATTTATTTATTTCCTTCTAAATGCTAATGAGTTGGTGATTAAAGAGTATTTAAGAAGGAGAAAAAAATTGAAAGGAAAAACAAAGCATATTTTTAATGGTTATAAAAATAAAAAAATCAATTATGTACAAATTATGTTTATTTTTATTGTTATTGACAAAAACTTATCAAAACAATCTAATTTGAAACGAAAAATAGTTTTTTAAAAAAATCAAATTTAAAATTAGAACTCGAAATAATGGTTTTCTAACTCAAATTCAAAAAAGTTTGGACAATTTAACATTTCTATATGGATATTTTACTATGTTGATTTAATTTCTACTGTAATGGCCGGACCCCAAATCACATGAGCCTAAGTCCAACACAACAAAGCTTATTAACAAAAATAAAATAAAACCATGTTTCACCGTTCACGATATCATCCGAAATACTATTCATTGGTTCAAATGGACTATTTCTTTCGTTATGTAATGATATTTTTTAAAGCCGACAATCCAGCCCGTCCCGACGTCTCCCCATTTGGAGCGGGTATGAGATGCGAAATTTTACTCCGAACCGGACATGGGGCAAAGATGAGTTTTTTTTTTTTTTTTTTTTTTGAGGGCGACCATTTTACCTTTAAAAAAGGTAATCTGGTGGGGCGAGGAATAGAGAGCGAAATTTTACTTCGAATGGAGCGCGAAGCGAGGATGAGTTTTTTTTTTTAGGGACGAGGCGGAGTGAGTTTTTTTTTAGGGATGGGGTGGAGATGGGAATAGCGATCCCCGCCCTGCTCCATTGCCATCCCTAATATTTTTGTAGTTTTTAAATATTTTTAAAATATTTACAATAAAAATTTTCATAGTATTACACTTTGGTCCCTTATTTTGAAATATTATTTTTTCTATCTTTAATTTTTTTAGTTTTATTTTAGTCCCTCTTTTTTGTTTCATTTGGGTCCTTGTTTTTTTCTTTGATTTTTAATTAAAAATTTTAAGGTAAAAATATGTTTTTTTTTAAAATAATTTACAAAATAAGTTTTTAACTAAGAATGAAAATAAAAATAAAAATAAATAAATAATATTTTTAATAAAAAAATTATGAAAATATAAAGAATAATTAGTTAAACACAAAATTTTAATTAAAAAATTATAAAATTGATTGAATTTTTGTTTCGTTTTGATTTAATATATTTTGATAGATGCATAATATAAAATAGGATATTAAAATAAAATAATTTTTTAAACATAATTTTATGTATTTACTGCGGTTAAAAAAAACTAGTTCCTACTAATCTACCCACCCGTGCCATCTGTTACGACAAAATGCCATTATGGTTATATGTATTCTATCAATTCTTCTCCTTGGGCTGGAAATAAACAACTGTTTTAATGGAATTCTCTTCCTCCTTTTCCATTTCTTCGTTTTTTTTCTTAGATATACTTGGAGTTGGATTCCTATCTCCACATAAACATAGGATTTATCTAAAAAACTATTCACCAATTTTACCTTTTTGTGAAAAAAACATAGCAGTCGATATATGTAATAATGTCTCGAAAATATACATGTATTCTAACTCGATAAAATTAAAAATTGAAAAACAACATGATAACATGTGCAAATTAAGTGTAACTTCATCGTTAGAATTAACAAAAATCTATAAGAAAAACTCAATTTGGAATAAAAAATAATTACAAAGATATTCAATTTAAAATATAAGTTGAAGGATTATCTTGATTTGGCAAAGTTAAAGGTTCAATTCATACCATCAACAGTTAACTAGCTATAATTATCTATTACTGGTACTGATCTTGGGCTGACATGACCTAAAAGACAATCTAATATCCGACTATAGGTTAACTATGATCTGACACTGGTTCAGCTGAAAAATAAAAATAAAATACATCTAGTCTCGGTTGAAAATACTCCGACAATATCTTCCAAATATCAAAAAGAAAAATGCTAGATCTTCAAATCATTTGAGCCAAGTCTAACACAACAAAGACCATAAATCATACACGTGTGCCGCAAATTAAAAATCCTACAAATCAACCGGTCCATACCATTCGTTGCAACAAGAGGCCATTATAACTATATGTATTCTATCAATTCCTCTCCTCGAGCGGGAAATAAACAACGGTTTTAACAGAATTCTCCTCCTCTTTACCCATTTCTTCATTTTTTTTAGATATACTTAGGGTTGAATTAAACAAAAAATTATTCACCAATTTCACGTTTATGTAATAAAATAAAATAAATATAACACTCTATATATATATATATATATATATATATATCCAATTGAATTAATTTTATCCATGAAGTTCGATAAACTATCCTTTAGAAGGTGCTACAATACAATTGAAACATTTACAGGTTTAATAAATAAATAATTAAGATAATGGCTCCATTTATCTTATATAATAGGATAATTTTCGAATCTATTTTTATATTTTTAATTGAATCAATTTTATCTATAAATATATATTAACGTTCTAATCATTTTAGCAAGGTTTTTCCAGATTGAATAACTATAATTAGTTACATGATTTACACAACACTCTTTTCAAGTTAGACAACTTTGTTTTAAGTATTTTAGTTTTTTTTTTAAGAAACTTAAAAAAAAATTCAAAAAGAAATTATTTAATAATGACAAAAAAATTTACTTGAATATCTTTCAATGATTTAGGCCTAATTAAGATTTTTTGCAATTATTAATTTTTTTTGTCAAAAACAATATTAAGTCTTAAAAAAAGCTAACTACTTAAAGCTATGCTGTTTTAAACATTTTAACTAATGATAAAAATTTTAACCATTAAACATAATAAAAAAGATAAAATTTATGCAAAAAGTAATATCTTAAGGTTAAAATAAACCAAATTGATAACATACATTTTATTTTTTTACAACCTTAATTTGGGGGTAAAATATGCATAAAGTATATGTATTGCTAAGTTGCAAATTAAGAAGATAGGAACGCATCAATCAGGCCAAAATCAGACACGTGTCCAACAAATTAAAATCATACAAATCGACCGTCAATACCATTAACTACCACAAAATGCAGCTATAACCACCAGTAGCCCATCTTTTCTTCCCCTTGAGCGGGAAATAAATAACGGTTTTAACAGAAATCCCTCCTCCATTTCTTGCTTTCTTCCTCCCAAGAATCAAGAAAGCACATAGCAAGAAAATGAATCACCATTTCCCAAATACCTATCCGATGAATCCACAATACACAGCGAATCAACAAACCCCAATGTATGTTCCGGTGAGTCCACAAACCCCGATGTGCTTTCCGTTGAATCCACAAACTCCCATGTTTGTTCTGGTGCCACAAACCCCCATCAATGTTCTCCCGCCGGCGAATCCACCAACTCCTATGTATGTTCCGTGGCCGACGAATCCACCGACCCCTATGTATGTTCTGGAGCCGGCGAATCCACAAACCACAATGTACCCACCAACATCAATGAATGAACAAAGTACACCAGAAATCACCATCAAAGAAATTCAGCTGAACAGCCATGGAAAACGCCGTGAATTCAGGGTCACAATATACGGGCAACCAGCTTCCATCTTCGTGACAGTCACCTTCTCAGACAAAGTGGGGGGAGAAATGGATCAACCAAATTGTCAGCAAATGTAACAAGAGAGCCCCTCTTGGACGTCGCCTTCTCGTTGGCCTTGGTGTCCACTGGGACATCAGGAACCGCCCCCACAACTCCAGCTGATATTCTCCAATTGTGCGTTGGTAACCTCTGCCTAACCTTTCAACTCTCTCAAGCTGATACTGTTCCTAACAATCTCCAACGCTTTCTTTTACGTCCTAGAAACACTTTTGTTGGGATTTGGAACTCTTTGGATAAGCACTGCTTGGCGAATTCAAAGCACCATTTGCAGGTTAGTGGTAGGGTATTTGACTTAAGTTTCCGTGCCAAAGATGATAATGGAAAAAGCCTTCGATTCGAATCAAAGTACAGGATTAGACAACAATGTTTGGGATTGCCCAGAAGATTCGCGGACTTGAGAAATAATGATCATCATTGGAATGCTGCAAATCTCAGTCTGAACCAGATTATGCACGCCTGTGTTGATGTTTATGCGTCCTGTGTTCTTGGAATGAAGGTCCATGCTTATGATTTCGAACGCGTTAGTTCTTGAAAAACTTTACACTTTCTGCAGAATACACTGATTTTGGGATTTGGTGATGAACTGTTCTTGAAAATCCATGGAAGATTGCTTCAAATAGTGCTAGTTGCTGGTTGTAAGTCTCAATTGACATATATAATTTGCATTAAAATTCTTTTGGATGATTTGATTTGGACTTATAACTTGCAGTTTCCAACATGGGCATGTTTGATTTTTTTGTTTTTGATGTTAGATTGAACTTACTGGGTTGTTTCTTGCTGGTTTTTTTACGAGCAAATTATAAATTAGTCTCTCTTGTTTACAGAAGCAAATTACTTAATACCCTTTCTTTTAAAAATTAATTATTTAGTTCCTTACATTTTAAATAGCTTAATTTTTTTATCAGTTTTTTGTTAGATCAATATTTTTTTTTAAATTGCAATTCTTTTGATTTTTTTTTTTAAAAAACGAGAGGTTTTAATTTATAATTTAGTCCACTTCTTATGAAAGAATATTACTTCACGGTGATCACTTTATCACCTACGGTGAAAAACCAATTTATGAATAAAATCTATACATCATTTTTGTATAATTGAATATTATCCAAAAAAAATTATTAAATTAAAAAAAAGTGGGAAAGGAAGTTAATTTTTTATTTTCAATTAAGAATTTTTGTATCATTTAATTATTTTAATCCCTCTAAACACCCTAATTTGGGATGTTAAATTTTTTAATTATATGAAGGGTTTAAACCCCTAAAAAAAAAACACCACCTTACCTTATATTCAGAAGAGAACGAAACAAGAAAACCCCAATTTCCTTTTCTTATGTTTCGAAGCAGAAATATATATAGATGAGTAAATTACTGTTATTTATTAAAAAAAAAATAGAGGATTAAATAATTGGTTTTTAAAGCAAAAGGGATTAATTTTTTTTTCAAGATGCGAGGGACTAATTTATAATTTACTTCACTTGTTACGAAAGACTATTACTTTATAAGTGATCGTTTTATCAACTACCGTGAAAAACCAATCCATGAATAAAATATGTGCGTTGTTTTTATGTAATTGAATATTATTAAAAAATAATTATATATAGAGAGAGTTAATTACCTTCACCTTTTTGCTTTGGACATTATTACACTTTGCGTTTTGTATTTTAAAAAATTATAGTTTTTACCTTAAGATTAGAAGAGTTAATGTTCTTGTCTGAAATTCTTAAAAATCTAAAAATATCCTTGTTTTAAAAGAAAATAAAAAAATTACGCTATGATTTCATGGATTGTACTCTTTTTTTAGCAAAAAAACTTATGTTTTTTATTTTTTTATTTTATTCACGTGTTATTAAGAAAAAAGTGTGATGATATGGACTAGTGTAAAAATATTCATAAGTTTTGACATATTTTTAATTATTATAAAAATTATAAAAATCAATTATGTACAAATTATGTGTATTATTATTGTTAAAATTGATTAAAAAAAATTATCAAAAGAACCCAATTTAAAATAAAAATAGTTAAAAAAATATCAAATTTAAAATTAGAAAGTGAAAGAATGGTTTTCCGACTTGAATTACAAAATGTTTGGACAATTTACCTTTTGTTATGAAATAATGAATGTCCATCATCATGTTCAACCACTTTTCATATCCCCACTACTCATGATTCTTAATATGATTCAATTCATCATTCAATATGAGAAATTGAAAGGATGATGCAATTGATCATTCATAGTCCTTTCTAATTCTCTCCTCAATTTTGAAGCCTATAAATAGGCTTGATTGTCCATTAGTTGGTGTACAAGTTTCTTAGAGAGAATAAGAAGAACTTTGAAGTTCTTATCACTTATATTCATATTATAGTGATTTCATTTTCTTGTCATCATTTTCTTCAATTCTCCTATCATTTCTATTTATTTTATAACACGTTATCGACACGAAGCTCTAACCAATCGAGATAATAGACCATGAGGTATGTAGCTATCAAAAAAATTAATCAATTGTTTCAACAATTGGATTTCTTCTACACAAGTGCTCTACCAAAAGATCTAAATTATTTAGATCATTAAGAGGTATGTATCTAATTTATTCATGTACTTTAAATCTATTGATACTTGAAATATATATTTGAAAAAATTAAATGATCTACTAATGATCTAATATATGTTATTTGAAAAGCTTTAATTTTATTATTATATTTATTTTCTAATATTATTATTATATATTGTATTATGAATTTTTATCATATCAAACCTCATAAACTTGATTTGGTGACTCTTGATATTTTGAATAAGAATTATTGATTATGAGTGCTTGATTTAAAAAAAAAATATTCTCTACTTTTTATGTCTTGGATATGCTCATGCAGTAGCATATCGAGAAAAAGAGTTTAAGAAATATTTTGGATCAATTTTATATTTGTTAGTGGCTAAATAAAATGAAAAAGAATAAATCTCATCCAATTGGATCTACTCTATTCCCCGAAGTGAATGTGACAATTTATAATAATTTTAGACATGGATGAAGATGTGGTCATAGACATGGATATGGTGGAAATAATTATCATTATAATTGTAATGACCATAATATTATATCTCACCACCGAAGTGGATAACTATGAAAAAAAAAAAAGAAATAAAAATAGATAAAGTCGGTATTCGAAAAATAAATATTATAGATGTGGAATGAATGAATATTGATCGTGTACCTGCCGTACACCAAAGCATCTCATTGAGCCTTGTCAAGCCTTATTGAAAAATAACGAGTAAAATATGAAGGCCACTTTTATATATCAAAGTAATAGTAATTGAAATTAATTATTTGTTAGTTTTTCTATTTATAAATAAAATATTTTATATTTATTATAATTTATGTCGTATATTGATAGTTACAAATTTATTTTACTATTTATTTATTTTGTTTATGTTTATGAAGCATATATTGATTTATTTATTTTGTATTGATTTATTTAATTATTTATTTTATTTTAATATTATATATGATAATATCAATCTAATAGAAAGCTCTAGATGAGCGATTATATTATTATCTAAAGAGATAGATTTTGAAGGCTCTAGAAGAGTGATTATATCATGACTTGAAGAGATAAATTTTTGAAACTCTAGAAGAGTGAATAAATTATTACTTGAAGAGAAAATGTTTAAAGGCTCTAGAAGAGTCGATATATTATTACTTGAAGTGACTAATTTAAAGGCTCCAGAAGACCAAATATGTTATTATCCGAAAGGATAAATTTATTATGAATGATGTACTATTCTCTTCAAAGTCTCATGGATATTTGTTGAGTTTCAAAGATATTTATCTAAATTGATATCATATCAAGATAGCAAATGCGAATTCTTATATGTTATAATCATTATATCGGGTAAAAAATATCTATCAAAAAAAATTTATCTCGTTTTCTCTTGTAGTCTTTGTTACAAACATTGAAATGATTGAAACCAATATTATAGTAAACCGAAGTTTACTAATTCAAATACTTTTACTATGTGACATGACCGGTTGTGTTATCTTGGGTCTTTCATGATGCGAAAAGATTATTAAAAAAAATTATATGAATATCTATTGAAGAGCCGGAAGATTCTTCAATTTAATGAACTTTCATGCTTTGCATGTTGCCAAGGTAAATTGATGATTAAGCCATCATCAAGTAAAATTGAGATTGAATCTCCAGTATTTTAGAATATATTCAAGGTGATATATGTGGATTAATTCATCCACCATGTGGACCATTTAAATATTTTATAATTTTGATAAATGCGTCCACAAGATGGTCACATATATGCTTATTATCTACTCGAAACTCGACGTTTTTGAGATTGCTAGCAAATAATTTGATTTTGAGCATAATTTTCAAATTATGCCATTAAAACAAGTCACCTTGATAATGCTTGATGAATTTATTTCTCAAGCATTAAATTATTATTGATTGGCTATTGAACATCTTGTTGCTCATGTTCATACTCAAAAAGGTTTAGCAAAATCATTTATCAAAAGGCTCCAATTGATAGCTAAACCATTATTTAAAAATAAAACTCCCTGTTTATGTTTGGGGATATGCAATCTTACATACAAGCAACACTTATTCGCATATGACCCATAAGTTATCGAAATTCTCTCCTCTTTAATTGATTTATGGTCATAAGCCAATTATTTCTTATTTAAGAATTTTTGGCATTGCAATATATATCCTTAGTGCTCCTCTATAATGAAATAAAATGAGCACTTAAAAGAGATTGGGAATATATGAATCCTCTTCGATAATTTAATCTCTTAATTCATGAATAAGAGAAAATTTTTACAGCTCGATTTATCGATTGTCATTTTGATGAAATAGTTTTTTCAACATTAGGGGAGAGAATAAGCAAAATAAGCGAGTTGGAAATATTGAAAAAAAGATTACATGGAGTACTCTATCTTTATATCATACTGAATCTCATACAAAATAATGTGAACCGAAGTTCAAAAGATAATTCATTTATAAGGTATTAGAAACCGACTGCTAGATGCATTCTTAGATCCTAAATGAGTAACTATAATGCATGTCCCCGCCGAGAATGCTCATATTAGAATTGATGTTCCGGAAGGACGAGTCTATTAATGTTATAGCTAATAAATCTAAAGCACGCCCGAAGCGTGGAAGACCGATCGGTTCTAAAGATAAAAATCCCTAAAAGAAAAGGGCAAGATGAAAATATTTACAAAATGGTCCAATATATTTCGATCATAGGCTTCAAGAGGAAGTCTAAATACTTGAGAAAAATCAAGAGATTTTGATAAATTATATTAATGCAAGGAGAAAATAGGATCGAAAAGAAACATCTATTGATAAGATTTTTGCATATAATATTGCAATTGATATTATGGATTGAAAATAAGGATCCCGAGCCTAAATTATTGAAGAATATCGGCATAAAGATGATTGGCCTAAATGAAAAGAGCAATCTAGGCAGAATTATGTTCTCTTATAAAAGAGTAGTTTTTATAAACCCATAGCTAAAACACCCGAAGATGTT